AGGAAAGCACAGACAAATAAAGAGATAGTGGTTGCTGTGTTTTTTGATATAGAAAAAGCGTATGACATGTTGTGGAAAGAACGCCTGCTAATCTAACTGGATAAGTTGGGAGTGGGAGGGAAGATGTATAACTGGGTATTGAGCTTCCTGTTTGGGAGGACGATAGAGGTCAGAGTAGGAAAAGAGTACTCACCAGTATATATGGTTGAAAATGGAACACCACTGGAGTGTATGCAGTCCAATATTCTTTAACTGTATTGTAATGTTGTGAGAACTAGGTAGTATCCCTTTAAGAGACTGAGGAAGTCATGTTGTGTTTACTGTCTGAGTTAGTTGCCGCTGCACGAGCAGAGTGAGGATGCGACATGTTACCTGTGACAATGCAATGAGAGTTTATTAAAGCTTCAAGTCCAAATGTATAAAACTGTGAGGACATTGCATTTCTACAATGGCGACGCAATCCACGCAACGGAGTTACTTCCTGCACACGACCGCTTTGCCTGCTAAACCACAGGAGAGCCACAGTGCTGCTAACGGACTCGTGAGTAGATGGCCGAGTGGAAAAAAAACAACAAATAAATGCAAAAACCTCTCCGGAGCAATTCTTACGAACTGAACTCTCATCTTGAAAGCTCCGTGAGACGTCGCTCAGCACTACAGTCAAGAGAGACGTGCTAATGCTAAAAACAAAAACAAAACGAAAACTAGCAACAACGAGACACACATGGACATAACTGGACAGTAGTAGTTCCGGAAAAAAAAATAATAATAAAACGGAGAAACAAAACTACAACAACAATGGCTGGCATGGCTGAATTACCCTCATTCCCCCTCTTTGATGTAAATGCAGACCCAGCCTCCCTTTTCCCAAAAATGGAAAAAGTGGATGAAGAGATTTGAAACGTTTCTCACTGCAGCTGCCATAACTGATAAAACAAGAAAAAGGGCTATGCTTCTGTACTATGCTGGAGAACAAGTGCAGGATATCTTTGAGACTTTTCCTGAAAAAGGACAACCAGATGATTTTGATGAGGCAGTAAAGTTACTTACCGAATACTTCAGTCCAAGTCATGATGTAGAATACGAAATCTACATATTTCGACAATCAAAACAAAACCCAGGTGAAACTGTTGATGCATTTCATACCAGACTGAGACAGTTAGCTCAGAATTGTGAATTCACTAATGTGGACAAAGAAATAAAATCTCACATAATACTCAGCTGCACATCATCACGTCTCAGGAGAAGGGCACTGAGAGACCCAGATATGACTCTAAAAGGACTTTTGGATCTTGCCAGAGCTTTTGAAACCTCAGAACTTCAGGCCTCTGGCATGGAAAACAAACATGAAACGGGACAGATTGCAGCCATGCCCAACACAAGAAACAAAAAATGGACCACCTCTGGGCCCCAAACGGCGAACACAGAACAGCGAAATCAGCCAAAGATGAAATGCAGGAATTGTGGAGGTACATTTCCTCATCAGGGTGGTCAGTCGGCATGTCCAGCGAAAGGCGTCCAGTGTCGAGCATGTGGGAAATTCAACCACTACGCCCGCTGCTGTCTCTCTGACCCTGACAAAAAGGTACAACAAAACCAACATGGACAGAAAATGAAACCAACTCAGAGCACACAAAAGATGACATGGCCTAACCGACGCAGACAAGTTAAAACCATTCTTACTAACGATGCTGAAATTGCCCCCATCAGTCATCTAGCTGCTACTGACTCGAGTACAGATGAGGAGTATGTCTTCCTCACAAAAGATGCAGAGGGCAGAGAACCGCCAGTGAGGTCAGTCATGATAGCTGGTGAAAGCATTGATGTTCTTGTTGATTCAGGAGCCTCAGCTAACCTCCTGGATGGAAAAGCCTACAGCACATTGAAAACCAAACTCAAACTTGAGCAGTCAAGCAAAAGAATCTATCCCTATGGTGCAAAAACTCCCCTCTCCCTTCATGGCAAAGCCACCACAACGGTCTCTGCTAATGGACGAACAGCTCAGGCAGCATTCTACATTGTTGACGGAAACTACGGCTCACTGCTAGGCCATGACACTGCAACTGCACTGGGACTCATACATGTGGTGCACTGCACTCAGACCATACCACAGAACCTGTCTAAAGCAGAACAGCTGCTCCTGCAATATCCAAGTCTCACCTCAGGCATAGGGAAGCTGAAAAAAAGTTAAACTGCACATTGACCAAAGTGTGCGACCAATCGTCCAGCCCCACCGTTGTATTCCCTTTCATATGAGGAAGAAAGTAGAGGAGGAGCTACAATGCTTGGAGGACCAAGGCATTATTGAAAAAGTAGAGGGTCCAACACCATGGGTGTCACCCATTGTGGCATCACCAAAACCAAAAAACCCAGAGAAAATACGCCTCTGCATAGACATGCGCCTGCCTAATACAGCTGTCCAAAGAGAGAGACACATAGCACCTACTGTGGATGACATCGTGCATGATCTCAACGGTGCAACCATGTTCTCAAAGCTGGACCTCAACGCAGGATATCACCAACTGGAACTAGCACCTGAATCCAGATACATCACTACATTCTCAACACATGTTGGACTGAGACGATACACACGACTCATCTTTGGAATTTCTTCAGCAGCAGAGGTTTTCCAACACGCAATCTAAAATGTGCTCCATGGAATACAAGGAGTCAGAAACTTCAGTGATGACATCATAATTTTTGGTACCACCCCTGCAGAGCATGACCGTTCCCTGGAAGAGGTTTTCAGACGACTCCACGACAACAATCTCACGATCAACAGAGACAAACGTGAGTTCCACAAAACATCTCTGGAGTTCTATAGCTACGTCTTCTCCAAGAACGGTATCTCACCTGACCCTAAGAAAATACAAGCCATCACACACATGTCACTCCCACAGAATCCAAGTGAAGTCCGCAGCCTACTGGGGATGGCCAACTAAAGCGCACGTTTCATCCCAGACTTCTCCTCAATTACCCAGCCACTAGGTGAGCTCACAAAGAAAGATGCAGAGTGGTCATGGAAAACGGAACATACAGAGGCCCTCAATCAACTGAAGGACAGGCTGATCAGCAATCCGGTCATGAGCTACTTTCACTCTGAGAGAAAGACAAATGTCATCGTGGACGCAAGTCCAGTTGGTCTTGGTGCCATCCTGGCGCAGACTGATAAAGTGGAAAACAAGACATACATTGTAGCTTATGCAAGCAGGGCTCTGACGTTATTGTTGTTAGTTGTTGTTGACTATTGTTGTTGCTGCGGTTGCTGTTGTCGCTGCTCGCTGGCCCC